TTAAAAAATTTAAATAAATATTTATAATTTTTATATTTATTTTATATTCATTTTATATTATTTATTATTTCCTACCTAGGAACTCTGAACCTGGGCTCTTTTGCTTGGTCATTCATTCATTCAATCAGTCATGGACAGCAAATCAGAGGGGCTCTCAAACTTCTGTTCTAGAAAATGAGTAGTCAGTCAGTGTACTTCCAGATGGTATTAAAACACTTAGAAAGATGGCGGGGATTAAGAGATGGCAAGGGGCATGGAGGGGAGGAACTGATCTAGATACCTGACTGGGAGGGGTTCTCTGAGATGCAACTGGTACTAAGATTTGGAGGAAAGGCATCCTGGGAAAAAGAAGTACCTGCAGAAAAGTCCTGTATTTAAAGCAAGCCTGGCATGTTTTAGAAACCCTGCGAAATAAAGCACAGCAGATCAACTGGCTAATCCTCATCCTGCAGGTGCTAGCATGCCATACGGGTGCCGACACCGGTTCCTTATCCCAGCTGCTCCACTTCCCAGCCAGCTCCCTGCTTGTGGCCTGGGAAAGCAGAGGATAACCCAAAGCCTTGGGACCCTGCATCCATGTGAGAGAACTGGAAGAAGCTCCTGGCTCCTGGCTTCGCACAGCTCAGCTCCAGCCATTATAGTCACTTGGGGAATAAACCAGTGTATGGAAGATCTTTGAGTCTGTTTATGTAATTTTGCCTTTACACTGGATCAGAAACAAGCCAGAAGGGTCTATAGGAGGTGAGGTGGGATAAGCTCTTAGTGAAGGGACAGGTCACCCTATACCAAGAGGATGGATCCAATGCAACAAGGCAAGAGGAAGCCACTGGCAAACCACAATGGCGGAGTGGCTCCTCTGACTTCTTATTTTAATTTTCCCAGAGCCACATTCACAGTTGTCAGGGAAATTCAAGTAGGAGCAATCCTGACATAAACTCATGTTGGGGAGGTGCGAGTGAGATCATGCCAGGCATGTCTAAGGTTTATTAAGGAGTCTTTATTAACCAAGCTTGGTGATAACAGGGCCCATTAAAAACAGAAAAATCACAAGTCCATTTGGCAATCCAGTCAACTGAAACCCCAAGAGGAACAAATGGTCATTACCTATGTCCCAGCTTCCCCAACAAGTTATCCTAAGAGACATGCAACAAATAACACTTACAAAACTGTAGACATTCATCTTTCCCTGGCTTCTCTGCCCACATTCCATTATTGCTAGGCCTCACCTCTCCAGGAACTCTCAAAATTACACACATGGGCCCAGTGGCGTGGCCTAGAGGCTAAAGTCCTCGCCTTGAATGCCCCAGGATTCCATATGGGCGCTGGTTCTAATCCCGGCAGCTCCACTTCCCACCCAGCTCCTTACTTGTACCCTGGGAAAGCAGTCAAGGATGGCCAAAGCCTTGGGACCCTGCACCCATGTGGGAGACCCAGAAGATGTTCCTGGATCCTGGCTCCGGATTGGCATAGCATCAGCCGTTGCGCTCACTTGGGGAGTGAACCATGGAACGAAAGATCTTCCTCTCTGACTCTCCTCCTCTCTGTATATCTGACTTTGTAATAAAATAAATAAATCTTTTTTCAAAAAAAGTACACACATTAGATACAAGGCATCTTAGCATTAGTATCTTCACTGTCCCGCCCAAGCAGTGAACAGAGGGTGAGGAATCGAGACACACAGGAGACATGGTATTCCCTGTCCTCAGAGTCTTCCATGAGAAGCAAGAGAGAGAGAGAGAGAGAGAGAGAGAGAGAGAGAGAAGTAGTTACACAACACCCCCTTCAGGTTCCAGGTGATAGGTGTGCATCACAGGTGGTAAAAGGGAACATCTAGGTGGTGATAGGGGAGTGGCTTCCAAGTTTGTGACCCTGAACCAGCTGCCTACCTGACCATACTCAGCAGGCAGCACTGAAAACAAACAATACAGTCCCTTTAGCCTGCCTATAGGCCCTGGCTGGCTTTCTGTCACTGTCAGCAAAACTTTAAGAGGATGCTTCTTCTTTGCCCACAGCTTCACACATTTCCCTTTTATACCAGAGGATTGACAAAGCCTCGGGAAACGCTGAGATGACGTGGGAAGGGAACTGACCCCAAGCCTCTATTGGAATCTCACTTGAGCATCTCTTCCCTCTTTTCCTTTCCAGGATATCCTATCCCTCGTCACCCTCGTGTTGCCTTCTTTCCAAAGGCCCACCTGAGGATGAGCTCCTGGATCACACTGAACACATTAAAAATAATCTAGACAAGCCTACAGTTGGGCTCCCATATAAGGCACACCTTTGGCACAGAAGACCTAGTCTAATTTAAATTTGGACAACTTGGAGCCCTTTTTGAAGCTAATTGCAGCTGTGATTAATTCAAAGCCATTTCTTCTACCAGCATGTTTGGACACAATAATTGAGGGGAACCCTACCATGTGGCTATATTGGGATGCATTTATACATGTGTGCTTGGAAATAGAGGTAACAGCATCAGAAACCAAATGAGACTCATCTGTACCCACAAGCTGGGCCCTCCCAGGACCAGGGTAGACAAACAGGTGTGGGAACTTGGATCTCTCATTAGCCACGGATGATAAAGGAGCTCCTACCTCCCCCACCAACAAATGAAAATGCAGTCATCACCCTGCCTTTCCCCTAGGCTAAGGCCAGGCAGCCAGAGAGGAAACAAAATCAGCCTTTTCTTCTGCAAGCCAACTGTTAATCCCCCAGGCACAATGACTGTATCACTGCTCCAACCCATTAGAAATCAGGACAATGAAAAGTCACCTCATGCATGAAGTGTTAACAGTGCAGCACCCCATCAGCACTACTCACGCCCACCCCCGCCCCAGCCCTATACCTAGAAAGGTCTAGTGCCACGGAGCAGCGAACTACAGCCCTCCAATGGGTTAGGTTTGGGATGGGGTTAGGACAATCTCTCACAGCCAATGATACACAGCAACTGAAAATTAACACCATGCCCTTAGACTTTCCAAAGCCCAGCGCAGTGCAATTAGCTGCTGTTCAATGGCTTGGGACTGCGTACCTGATGTGGCACTTCACATCCCCGCTAACACCTTCCACAACCTTCCAATGTTCATGTGCCCCAGTTCCCACGATGGTTGGGGTTTCTTATCAGTCACCTGCAATTTCATGAGCCACTGACTACTAAAAGAATGCAAAAATATGCCCAAAGCCAACATCTCCAGAGGAGCTGGTGTGGCTACATTTTTAAACATTTCTCCACATACTTAAGCTGGAGGACCTCTGCCCTAAAGCAACATTTCTCAAACTGTGGGTCATGACCTGTTTGATCAGGAAATCAAATTCATGGGTCATGGCCAGCCTTTTTTTTTTTTTCCTTAATAAAGTAGAAAAAAAAAAATGTCATTATGGCACCCGTCAGGTGAGAAGGACTAACTGTTGTTTCCCTGAATTCATTTCAGTTTGGGTCCCATCATGCACATTCCCAACTGTGGATTCCACTCCAAGTGTGAAAGAAAGAAAATCCTATTCTTGCCCAAGATGTTTGTTTTCCATTTCCCCCCTCCCCCCAGCCACAGAGATATCAAAACAGATCCAAGAACTGCTGTCATCAAATCCTTAACTGATAAGGAAAAGCCCATCTGAGGAAAAAAAAGATGCAAGAAGACCTCCCTCCACTCCCAGCCCAGGGCCTGTCAGGGAGTTGGAGTCAGGGCTGGTGCAGAGGCAAGATCTGGCCATGGTGGCCCCAGGCTGCTTCTGGGGAAAGGCCTTGCAGGTACTCTCCCTCCCATGGAGGCAGGACTACTGCTCTGGGTCCCCCCCGGGGAGGGTTGGGGGAATTCAAACTCACAGATCCTGGGCTCTGTGATGGCTCTGTGAAGCTAGAGCTAAGAGCAGCAAGCACCACTGCACAGCCAGGGGAAGTGGGGTCCAGGGAAGTGGCCAACTCCCCCCTTGTCTCCAGTGCCCCATCTTGTATATCATGCAAAGAAGAGCACCCAGGCTGAGTAGCTGGCTGTCTGGTCGGCATTTGGATTCACTGAAAGGGAGGACACACGTGCCCCTCCTCCCACCCCACTCCTTACAAGGACAGCAAACAAGGAGGCCCCAAAGCCAAAAACGCTAGCAAAGCTCAGAAGTAGTTCCGCGGGACTATGGAAGAGCCAGTTACACGACAGGCAGAGAAACGGGGCACAATCACCATCTCGCTTGGCTTTTTACCCATTGAATGTCTTGAAGCCAATAGTGAAATCAGAGGTGATGGTACGCCTGGGGCAAGAAGTCCCAAAGAACAGGTGTCCCCACTGCTCAGATGGAGAAAAGCCCACCCAACAATGGAACAAGGCGATGGGCGGGAGTTTGGGGAGGAAATCGGCCTCGAGGCACCCGAGATGTCCTCGCTGGAGAGGCCCCCACGTTTCGCCTGGCAGGAGCGACTCGCGCCCACCCCCATAGCAAGGGCACCGGGAAGGTGCCAGGAACCGACAGGCAGGAACTCGGCCGCGGCTTCCCCAGCGGGGCTGGTGAAGCGCTCCCGGGAGTTTCGAGTGCTCCCTGTCCCCACAGGCAGGACTCCAGACCCCAGGTCTCCCTGGAAGGCGCAGTGCGCACGGGGGACACAAACACCAGAAGCCCCCACGCTTGCCCAACCGTAAGTGCATGAACTGCGGAGAGGCGGCTGGCTACCCGGTGCCCAGTCCCCTGCGCTGAACTCCGCTGGCGCACTTGTTGGGCCCCTCGCCCAGTCCCAGGACCCCCGCGCCTCGGGGCCTCCCAGAGTCGCCGCTGGGGCCCGGCAGTGTTTGTAAACAAACCGGTCACGTGGCCGCCGCTCGCTACCCGCGCCCACGGGGACCCCACGCGGGCCTCGCCACAGCCCCGCAGGACACCGCGCGCCCCCGCAGGAGCCGGGCCCGTGGCGCTCCGGGCCCAGTGTCCCAAGCGAACGCCAGGAGCCCGCGCTGCCAGCGCGCCCCACGCCCCCGCGCGCCTGCCCGCCCGCCGGCTGTCTGCGCGCCCGGCTCACTCACCCGGCAGCAGGCTGTCCCGTCCGGCCCGCGCCAGGCTCGGCTCCACTGGAGTGCGCGGCTACGAAGCTCGGCCCGGCTGCAGCGCGGGCTACCGGCGCGCCCTTAAAGCTACAGTCTCCGCCACTGCCGCGGCCGCCACTCCGCATCCCTCCGAGTCCGGGCCGGGGGCTGCCCCGTGACGGACGCGCCCCCGCGCCTATCCCCTCGGCTCAGCACCTAGCAACACGCCGCGGGTTGGCCAGGGACGGCCGCAGCCCATTCGCCTGGAGCCAATCAACGAAGGACGAAACTCCGCCCTCCTGTCGGCCTGCCTCCCACCCCCACCTCTGTGCCTTGGCCGGGGCTCGAGGCTCGGGTGCGTGGAGAGGGGCGAGCGCCCGGGCTCAGCACTGGCTATAGAGAGGGGCAAGGAGAAAAGGGGGTGAGGGCGCAGCGCCGGGGAGAAAGCAGCTTATGGGGACTGGGGGAGGGGTGGTGTCTGTTCTCAGATCCAACCTGGGATTCCCAGACCTGGGAGGGTGGGGGTGTGTGGCCCTGCTGCTTGGAGCACCTAGGAGAGCACCCCTGCACCTGAAGCTGTCCCCAACGCACAGTTTCAGTTCAGAAATGCCCTGCAGGCTCCAGGACAGTTGGAATCTGCAGGATTGCGCCCGTACCAGGGGCCCAGCTCTGCTCTGCTCAGAAGCAGGACACCCTCCCCCAACACACACACACACACATATCCCATTCTTCTAGGTCCTTAGAGTAGGAAAGGGGCCTTCGGACAAGCCTCTCCCAGCCTCCAGCTCCACTACCATTGCTTCTTCCTTTAAAGGGAGCTGAGGATAGAAGGGTCAGTAGGGTGGTGCCCTTAAGAGGAGGTTACAAAATAAGCTCAGGGCAGACAGGAAATCCAGGGAGGTACCAGGTGGGTGGAGTGGGGTAGAGTCTCCCAGCAGGAAAACAGGTCAGTGTGATAAAGACATGAGGGCCGTGACCAGGGGCCAGAGGAGAGAGCAGAGCTGGCTGACGTTCTGCCATTGCTCAAAAGGAAACTGGCTGGGGATGGGGGTATGCTTCAAGGGGTGCAGCTGCCCACTGCTGGGGCATCAACTCATGCCTCCACCTGACGCAAAGTTTCACCCTGCACTCCCATTCAGCTGTCTTCAGAAGATACTTTGGCGAACCAAGTTCTAATCCGTGATCACACGTGACCCAGTGGAGCATGAAGCCAGTCCCACTGCCACCGAAACCAACAAAAACCGCCCTCTCCTTATCAGTCCCCAACTCGCCTATGTCAGCATAAACAGAAGCACGTGGTTTCAAGGCAGACAGGAAACACTGTCAGGTCAGAACCACAAACAAGGTTTTGCAGTTGAATCCTTGCTCAAGGAGAGGTGATAGGATTCTTGAGATGACCAAGATCTTGCTATCAAACACTCATCTGCCTCTGGGCCAGCTTTTTGTTTTTATTTTGTTTTTGCCCAAGTCCTGAGTTTTCACTGTTTAAAATAGGGAGGGTTTGGAATCAGGTGATCTGTGGTGTCCCTTTCAGCTTTGAAATTCCAAGTAGGACCAGAAAGTTAAACTTGTTCAAATGTTTCTGCAATATCCTGCTATGGGGAATGTTTGTGTTGCCACATCACCACTCCCCAACAGGAGATGCAACTCCAAGTTTAACACCCTGGGATATTGGTAGGTTATGTAACAACATTGGTGGCTACTGTTTCTGTTTAAATAAAAGATAATGTCAGCCGAGGAGGACTGGCCACATACAGCGTTTTCCAGGGAGCTCTGAGGACCCCTGCAGGCCTCCTGTGTGTCTGCAGCTGGGGGTGGCCCACCAGATGCAAGGCTGGGAGACAATCACATGAGCCAGCTCAGGGCAGACCAGCAAGAGGACTGTGACTTGAGAAGCTAAAAGGAAGAAGTGAGACACAGAAGAAAACCACTTCTCCTCAATGACCCCAAGGGCCTTTAGCTGTCCTTGGGCACCTGTCATGAGCAGAAATGTCCTGGGGACATGAAGGACAGCAGTCTGAAGAATCTGCTGAGTGGACAGGAGCTGAGACCAGTGGGGATGTGGCAACAATAGACAGATATTTATCCTGGGGGCCCAAAAGGAGGGGAAGACATGCAGATAAAGGCACCCACAGACTTGTTCAGAGCCACACAAGGCTTTTTTAAAAAAAAATAATAATAATAACACACCTTGCCAAATCCATCCATTCATGCATTCTTTTCCTGCCTTTCCACTGCTGAGGCCTGGGTCCTGCCATGCACTGTAATCAAGGTCACTTTGTGTGCTCCCCTAATTCAGTCACTCACTGCCATCCTTCACTTCCTCTTCCCTCTCACCTCACGCCAATCCATCAGCAAGTCCTGTCAGCCTCACTTTAAAAATCCCTATTTGCTCTGAAACAAAAGAAATGGGGGGGGGGGGAGTGAAAACCTTTTTTTTTTTTCTTCTGTTGACTATGCCCATCCTGTGTGTTGCCACCACCCTGTTGGGAGCCACCAGCATCTCTGGCAGCTACCTCCCAGCTGGGCTCCTGCTCCCCACCCATTGTCTCCACAGCAGCCAGCAGAGCTTCTTCCAAACTCCCATGGTCCACGGGCCTCCCTCACCAAGGCTGGCTCTCTCCTGTTCCGCGCCCCCCAGCTCAAGGTGCTCCTGGCACACTGGCTCTCTATCTTCCTCAAATGTGGGGGTGGCAGGAAGCCAAGTACTTGAGCCATCATCTGTTGCCTCCCAGACACATTGGCAGAAAGCTGAATCAGAAGTGGAGGGATGGAACCAGATCCCAGACACGCCAATAGGGGGTACAGGCACCCCCAGCCATGCCCTAACATGCTGCACCACGATGGTCATCCCACTTAATACCATCTGCATGCAATACCTATTGGGATATGAATGAGATATAAATAGTTGTAATACTGCATTGTGTAGGAAAGCACAGCAAGGAAGTCTGTTCAGATGGAATATATTTCCAGCTCTGGACACAGCTCCCTGACTACTCAATGTTATGTGCCCCTCTCTTCTAGGATATTCTGTTTGTTTTAAAGACTTATTTTATTTTTATTATAAAGTCAGATATACAGAGAGGAGGAGAGACAGAGAGGAAGATCTTCTCTCCAATGGTTCATTCCCCAAGTGAGCACAACCGCCAGTGCTGTGCTGATCAGGAGCCAGGAGCCAGGAACTTATTCTACATCTCCCACATGGGTGCAGGGTCCCAAGGCTTTGGGCCGTGCTCGACTGCTTTCCCAGGCCACAAGCAGGGAGCTGGATGGGAAGTGGAGCTGCTGGGATTAGAACCGGTGCCTCTATGGGATCCCGGCGCATTCAAGACCAGGACTTTAGCTGCTAGGTCACTACGCCAGGTCCCTAGGATACTCTTAAAAAGAAATGATTGATTTGATTTGAAAAGCAAAGTTGCAGAGAGATTGATTCATCTTCCATCCACTGATTCACTCCTCTGTATGGCTGCAATAAGCAGGGATGGGTTAGGTTGAAGCCAGAAGTCAGGAACTTCTTCCAGGTCTCCCACATGGGCACAGGGACCCCAACTGGAGCCATGTTCTGTTGCTTTCCCCCACTAAATTAGCAGGGACCTGGATTGGAATTGAAGCAGCCACCACCCAAACCAGCATCCATATGAGATAATAGAATATTATTACATCTTCCAATTTATTTTCTTTATACGACACATTATTCTTTGGCATTGTCCTTTAAAAAAAGAAAAAGCGTTTTCTGTCCCAACTCTAAAAGGTAAACTTGAAAATACCAGAGACCTCGTTTGTCTTGCTTCCTCTTTCATCCCGTATCCCAAGACAAGAGCAGTGTGTGTCACTCCAGTGTGCCCAGGCCTCCCACCTTCATCCCTACGGTCCTGTGTCCCCCTGACCTCCCGGTGTTTTCCTGCTCTTGTCCCACCTCCAGGCCGTTTGCTGGTGACTCAGCCGCAGATCCGCCCAGATGTCACTGTTCCAGAGGAGCTTCTCCCAGCATCCCTCGCAAGACTCATTTTTCTCCTCTCAGACCCTGCCTAGCGCTCTATTCATAGCTCGCTGACATCACCAGCACTCCACTCTCGGAGAGGAGCTCTCTGTCATCTGCCTTCTCTGGGCCCCCAGTCTTATCGGCTCATCTCAACGTTTCCAACACCTGCACACTGGTGGGCCCTGCTACAGGCTTGCATCTGAATGGGATCCAAGAGGAAGCCCAGCAGGTGTGGACCGGGTCTGTTGTCTTGGGTACCTTGATCAACAGATAACAGCATACTACTTTCGTAGTATGACATTAAACCTGAAACTTCAGGGTATTCTAGGATAAAGGGGGGGGGGGCAACTTACATCTTAAAACTCACAGTACAATGCACCTTTCCTACCTGCTGTCCCTGGGACCTGGCCATCTGGAAGAATGTGCAGCTCTGCCTGTGTGGGCAGGGGATGTGGACTGTACCCTCCCCCCAGGAACGTCCCCTCACGTGACATCACACAGGAGGGCCTGAAGCCACCTGCTGCCCAGGAAGAACCGGTAGTCAGGCTCCGTGTTTGTGCAGTAAACAGTATCTCTGATCCCTGTCCAAGGGTCTCATTTGAGTCCTGAAGTTGACTGGCAAGCTTTTCACACTGCTCCCGAGGAAGCCTTGGCCCTCCCAGAACCCATCTTAACAAAACAGCAGCTACCATTTAGGGAGAAAAGATTGTGTCTGAGCAGCATCACACAGACTCAGGTAGGACTGAGCATCAAAGCAGTCAGATTTTTTCCCCCCACAGATCTCAAAGGAGTAAGGAATACTACGGATACTAAGGAATTTGAGCCCTGGTCCATCTCGCTTCAAAGTACATGCCTACTCTTCCATCAAAGACTGAAACTGCTTACTCCCCAAGACATGCCACTGAGCTTTGCATAAAAACTCACCCAGAGCTGGGATTTACGCCTTAAAGCAAAACCCAAGCCGAGCTAAAAGCCAGAGTGACGAGGGCTTAGCAGCAGCAACAGCAATGAGAAAATATGTGTTGCTTCCCACGCAGAGACTGAGCGGACCCAGGAGCTGAAGCCAGAGGATCCTGTCCTCTGAGACCCTAAGCGGCCTCAATTTTCCAGGGCGATCTTGGTGTTTGTTTTGGGCTCTAGAGGTTGTCTTTCTCATAGGAAGAGCATGCGCCACCCAGTGGTGACGGCCGAGCACTGCGTTA